TAGGGGCAACTAGGCTGGCATGGGGGGGAAGTTGGGAGTGACAAGGCCTGCAGGGGAGGGCAGTTGGGGGGGACCAGGCCTGCAGAAAAGTGCAGTTAGGGGCAACCAGGCCTGCAGAGGAGGGCATTTGGGGGTGACCAGGCTGGCAGGGGAGGGCAGTTGGGGAAACCAGGCCTGCAGGGAAGGGCAGTTAGTGGGGACTAGGCCTGCAGGGAAGGGCAGTTAGGGGCGACCAGGCCTGCAGGGGAGGGCAGTTGGGGTCGACAAGACTGGCAGGGGAGGGCAGTTGGGGGAGATCAGGCCAGCAGGGGAATGGTTAGGGAGTGATCAGGCTGGCAAGCAGAAGCAGTTAGGGGCAATCAGGCAGGCAGGCAGGTGAGCGGTCAAGAGCCAGCAGTCCCGGATTGTGAGAGGGATGTCCAACTTCCAGTTTAGGCCTGATTGGGCCTAAACCAGCAGTCTGACATCCCCCAAGGGGTCCCAGATTGGAGTGGGTGCAGGCTGGGCTGAGGGACCCCCCTTCCCCCATGCATGAATTTCGTGCACCAGGCCTCAGTTATCTATAATTAGTGAATAGAATCATGCTTAAATTAAGCATGAAATTAAACTATATGGCATTTTCATCCAGTAATTAAGAGTGTTTTCTCTATCTCTATGATATAACCATTTAAAAAGCTCTCTAGATATTGTAATTATTTAAATATTTCTAAACATTTTTTTGAATAGTTAATGGCTAGATGGATGAATAAGTCATTCAGGCTGAAGAACATATTATTTGATTATTACAGGCCAGATTCTAGTGTCCAGTGAGGGTAAAATCTGTGCTGAAAGCGGAGATAAACATAACATGGCTATACATCTGTCATTTGCTAATCCTTGGAATCTTCTATTCTAAAAAAATTGTGGTATATCTCTAAATAGAAGGATAACTCTTTAGATTGATCTCCCACAGGAGTTCTAATCTCAAGAGAAAACTGTCCTTTGGAGGACGGGGGAAGAGTTCTAGGCTAGGATCCCACAATCATTGATTCATTCGTTCATCACTCAACAGAGCACTCATATAGTCACACTGCTCTGAGCACCTGGGGACAGAGGGAGAAATAAGACAGATAAAACATTTTGCACAGGTCACCTCTTATACAAGTTTTATTTCATTACCAGATATTGTCCCCAGAGCTTATTTTTTTATTATCATATTTTTCAAAGGTGGAGAAACTTTCCAATTGACTGAGTAGTGTGAAAACAACTCGGCCATTTAATTAGCAATGCTCCCATTCCACCTTTCTTCCATATTGTATTTTGGCATCACTATGTAGATAAAACCTTAGCCAGTATTGCATAACCTATTTATAGAAGAGAAAGGTCATTTTTCTATTTAATTTGAATTCATGTAGTGGAATCTCAATTTATGAAGCCAATTTAATGATTGCATTAATCAGATTGATCAAGCAGCTAAACCTTGCCTCCTAGAAAATAAGTGAAATTTGATGTAACAGTTAGTTCCATTTGATGTAACACATTAATGTAGTAGGATACCACAAACTACCCAGTACATAGTTGGCCATCTCTTAGCTAGACAACTTAGGATAGTAGCAGATAGTTTCTTCATCTTCTAATTTAGAAGATGTTTTAATATAACTTAGTAAGTATTGCCCCATGATACTAATGCCTAAAATTATGATTCAAGTAAAAATTAAATGGTTCTATATTACCTTAAAAATGTACCCCAAACTTGTATCAGAATGACTGCATACCTATCTTTCTTTTTTTCTTAGAAGAAAAAGCTTAGGGGATAAAGGAAATGAAGTAGACAGCACTGTATCTTATCTTCAGAAAGATATTTGATCTGTTATGCCACAAATTCTTTATAGGGAAACTAGAGAAGTGTGGATTAGATCAAGCTCCTTTAATATTGATACCAAATTAACTAAAGAAAATCAAACACACAAGGCAATTAGTTATTGTATTGTCTACAGGGACTATATAAAACTCAAGTCAATACATCTATAAATTTTGCTAATAAATGAGAAACAGAGTTGATTTATGGTTGGTAAAAAATATTCCAAATGACTTTAAGTTTTCAAATAAAAAACTATAAGAAAAAACAAAATGAAGACAAATGACACTGGGTAAAGAAAATACATTAAAATAATTTTTACCATTATGGAGCAAATTCAATTTCCATTAGAAACACATTGTAAAAAAAAAAAAAAAACTATTGAAAAATAAATGTCACTGAAAATCCTGAAAAACACAAAGTTGACAGTCTCTCAGTGATTTCCCTACAAAAAGTTTTACTACCATTTGCAGAAAGTAGCAAGTTGAAATCACTGAAAACAAAAGTCTAACTTCTATAGCCTATTTATGCGGAAGTAAATATGGCTTCCAATACTTTGTCTGCTTTATATGATGTTAAACTCATTACAAAACATGTGACACTAGTATTAGAAACGTTATTAGGCGATATTGAAGCAACAAAGTTTACTTAAGATTTGTTTTTGTTGTTAATCCTTTCCATTTATTTATTTTATTTTTTTAGAGAGAATAGAAGGAAGGGAGAGGGAGAGAAAGAGAAACACTGATGTGAAAGAGATACATTGATTGGTTGCCTTCCACATGCATCCTGACCTGCAACCCAGGTGCGTGCCCTTGACCAGGAATCAAACCTGCAGAGCAGACAGAGGCTCTAACCAATTAGAAACACCGGCCAGGGCACTTAAGGTTTTTTAAGCCCCATACAAATAATAAGAAAATGCCGTTGTCTATGTTCAGGAGCACTGTCTCATTTTGCTGTCTCTTATTTGGGTAACTCATGACATTTTGTAGCATTGGAGATTATTAAGTTACCATTTTTTCCTCAAAATCATCTTTTTCATTCTTATGTAAACATCTGTTCAGTAAAATATTAAGCAAATATAGGAATCTTATGAAATATATAGTACCACTGCTATAACAACATGACATTGATTTTTCTTTGATAATCAAAATATACTGTAGACCAAAATATTCTCAGTGTTAATGAAATCAGCCCAATTGCAATGTAATTGCAGATATTATTTTCTATAAGAGTAAATTCAACATTTTTCTATGAATATATAGAGATTTGTTAGAGCCCAGTTGTTTTAAAAATTTGTCCTAATGAACAGACTGAGGAATCTCATAGGGAAAGCTTGGGAGGGTGGTAGTTGAGAAGGGATCAACCAAAGAACTTGCATGCATATATGAATAATCCATGGATACAGACAATACGGTGCTGAAGGCCTGGGGTAGGGGGCAGGGGGCAGGCTAGAAGGGATCAATTGGGGGAAGAGGAGGGACATATGTAATACTTTCAACAATAAAGATTTTTTTTAAAGTTTGTGTTAATGAATTTTTAAATAGATTTATAACCTACTTTTAAATATGGAGAAGAAAATAGAGTAATCTAAATTAAGAAAATAAATTGAGTAACTTTAAAATCTATTCTCTGTTGTATCAATAAATGAAAAAATCATCTAAAATTGAGAGATCAATTTTAATTGAAAGAATATAGTTCTTATGAGTTATTAGAGTATTCTCATATAGTTTAAAGATTCCTATATTACAAAGTTTAACTAGTGGGACCAGGATTTATTAATGTTGTCAGAAGTACAAATCTACATTCACTGCATTAGATAGAGTATTCCAGCGAAGTCCTTCCTAAGGTTGAACCATCCCCAAGCACTCCATGGAGGACGGCTGGCATGCAGAAGTTAAGAACCATGTCATTCCTGCCCTTACTGGAGTCCACCTGTTGTCAATGGACCCTCCTGAGATCCATACAGATGTGGTCTATATGGTGAGTAGCCCAAGAAGATAGTAAGATAAAACTCAGGGTAAACTGTTTGCTGCACAGGGCAAATAGAGTCATTTATTGAAAATAATTCGGTGTGAAAAATAACTCATGTAAAATATATTGAACAATGTCCCTAAAATTATACTTATTATTTTGTGACTATAAGTGCAGAAATAAAAGGGAAATGAATGTTGACATGATATTCGAAATAAACAACATGGGATTGTATGTAGCAATATTTTCTATTTCTCTGTAGGCCAAGAACGATGACAATAAAACAATCTTATATTGTGGATTCAGAAGCACCAAAACTGGTTTGACTTGAAAGAAGACAAAAGTTTTTAATTATTTAATTGTGTAACATAAGAAGAGAAATTAGCTGGTCAATAAGCTTGGTTGAGAAAGTGCTATTGCAATCAAACCCAAGCACTCTGGTGTGATGAGGGCCAGGGAGCTCTGCTGTGCTTGACAGCTGTCCATAAATCTGTCCCGCTTTCCTGGAAATGCTTAAGAGCAGTTTTTAGGTGGAGACGAGGAAAAATTAAGGTCTAGTGGAGAAGACATATAAAAGCCAAAACTCTTCTAATAGAAACACGGAGGAAAAAAATTAATAGAAAAAAATGAGAACATTTTGCTTATGTGTATGCATCTCTTTCTTAATCGGTGTATTGAAACCATATATGCATTAGCATTTTCATTTGAAAGTGATATAAAACATAATTTGTATGTTCTTTAAACAATAAAATATGTTACTGTTTTTTGAAGGGAAGTACATAATTCCCTAATGGTTGCTGCCCTCTAATGGTGAAATACTTGATTGGATATATCTGATGAATTCATGCCCAATCTTGTGTGTGTGTGTGTGTGTGTGTGTGTGTGGTGTATGCATGCCCATGTATGTTCACACATGAATGTATTTAATTTATGTTACTGTATGTTATCTTTCACACAAAGAAAATATGTAAAATTTGTAAAGTGTTAATGTGATTGTGAAAAAAATTATCGTATTATTTTCAGTTATACAATCCCTAAATAGAAATAAAGACATTTAACAAGTTTGGTGTAGGCCAAAAAAAAAATGTTATAAAAGAGTATGGTAACATTTTTTAAACACTATACTTCACCTAAAACTGTGATGTTTACAAGATACAAATAAAAGTGTTTCTTTAGGAGAAATATTGTTTTAATAATTTCAGTATATGCTTGTAAATTAGTATTATGCACCCTCTAGGATTCCTTACTTGCTTAAAATATCCTCTTCATTATAAACATATTTTCTTACAGGCATTGGGGATATGGATTCCTCTGAACATTAATCTGTGAAAAAATATATATTCTACATCAAATAATGTGAGTTAAACAATGTTAAATGTATTTGTTTGTTTAAGATTTCTTGAGGTTTTGCCAATATTCATTGGGAACAGGTCTGTTACTGCATGTAGTGTGTTTCCTAACCTCTTATTATGAAGTATGCTGTGGGTTCAATGTTCTGAGGAACATATGTTTAGAATGTACTAGGTAGCCACCTGATAAGGAAATAACATGAATTAAATACATATGTGGTGTCCTAAAAAAATGTATACACACTTCAACAGCTGGAAGCTCAATTTTGAAAATGAAATGTATTTTAATAAACACTGATTTTATAATTACTCAAAGTGTGGGTGTACATTTCTTGGGACACCCTATATAAGCCAAATAGCTTGTAATATAATGTTTAACCAATGCAACAAAATTCACAAGCAGAGCAAAAACATCTAATTAATACACTAAAGGAGGTGTTCTTACCTTCTGGGGGAGTGAATACTGAAATATTTGATTTGGGTCCAATCCCTGCACTGGTTTCTGCAGCAACATATACATCATACATTGTAAATGGTGTTAGGTTAGTGAATGAAAACTTAAGGTCTTTTGTGCTGTTATCCAAAATCCGACCTGAAAAAAGCAAAATAAGATACCTGTGGATTATTTTCTCATCAAACATGTAATCATTCTCACATAAAAGGATATAGCCAAGAACAGCATTTAAAGTGCTAACTTGTGCATTGTTTTTTAGTACAATTTATTTTTGTTGTTAATCCTCACCAGAGGATATTTTTTCCATTGATTTTTTTTTTAACGAGAGTGGAAGAGAAGAAGGTATGGGTTTTTCCATTGATTTTTTTTTAAAGAGAGTGGAAGAGAAGAAGGTATGGGGGGAGGGGGGAGAGAGAGAGAGAGAGAGAAACATGATGTGAGAGAGACACATCAATTGGTTGCCCCCCGCACCTGCCCCAACTGTGGCCTGGATCAAACGTTCAGACCAGCTACATGTCCTTGACTGGGAATCAAACCCACGACCTTTCCATGCATGTGCAATGCTCTAAGCACTGAGCATACTGGCCAGGGCACTATAACATTTAAATATATTTTAAACATTTAGTTTAATCATGCATTGTTATCAATTTAATTAAAATAACAAAAATAACATGAAAATTATCCAGTGTTTAAATGACTTTTATTAAATTATAAAGTCCTGTTCAATTCCCATGTTATTTTTTGACATATTTTAAAGAAATACATTAAAACTACTAGATTTAATAAATCAATTTATCAACATAGTAGAATATAAAATTAATACCCAGAAATCTATGGCATTTTTATACATGAACTCTCAGAAAGGGAAAACAAACAAACAACCCCATTTACCATTGCAACAAAAAAATTTAGATACTTAGGAATAAACTAAACCAAGGAGGTAAAAGACCTGTATTTGGAAAACTACAAGACACTGAAAAAAGAAATAGAGGAAGATATATGCAAGTGGAAGAATATACCATGCTCATGGATTGGTAGAATCAACATCATTAAAATGTCAATAATAACAAGGCAATCTGTAGATTCAATGCAATTCCTATTAAAATACCAACAGCATATTTCACAGAGCTAGAACAAATTCTCCAAAAATTTACATGGAATCAAAAAAGACTTCGAATAGCTGCAGCAATCTTGAGAAAGAAAAACAAAGTTGGAAGAATCACAATACCAGATTTCAAGTTGTACTACAAAGCCACTGTATTTAAAACAACCTGATACTAGCACAAAAACAGGCAAATAGGCCAATGGAACAGAACAGAGAACCCAGAAATTGACCTAAGTCATTATGCTCATTTAATATTTGACAAAGGAGGCAAGAGCATACAATGGAGTCAAGACAGTCTCTGCAATAAATGGTGTTGGGAAAATTGGACAGACACATGCAAAAAAATAAATAAATAAAATGAAACTAGACCACCAACTTACACCATACACAAAAACAAAAACTCAAAATGGATAAAGGACTTAAATGTAAGATGGGAAACCATAAAAATCTTAGAAGAAACCATAGGCAGCAAAATAGCAGACATTTGTCGTAGCAATATCTTTACCGATACAGCTCCTAGGGCAGTGGAAATTAAAGAGAAAATAAACAAATGGGACTACATCAAAATAAAAAGCTTCTGCACAGCAAAAGAAACCATCAACAAAACAACAAGAAAGCCCACTGCATGGGAGAACATATTTGCCAATGTTATCACCGATAAGGGTTTAATCTCCAACATTTATAAGGAACTCATACAACTTAACAAAAGGAAGATAAACAATCCAATCAAAAAATGGGCAAAGGACCTCAATAGACACTTCTCCAAAATGGACATACAGTAGGCCAAAAGGCATATGAAAAAGTGCTCCAAGTCACTGATCATCCCAGAGATGCAAATCAAAATGACAATGAGGTACCACCTGTAAGAATGGCTATCATTAACAAATCAACAAACGACAA